GCCCTTCCTCACAAACCCTTGATAAAGTATAGATTATTGCTTTCAAATCTTATATTGTCCTCCATTGCCTCCCCCACTTTTCTGTTGTTCATCCCCTGAGAGGGGATTATAGGTTGATCCTGGTGATCAATTCCCCAGATTGCATTCTTCTACGTCTTCCACTGTGAGAATTCATGGTGAATATGATTGATTAGATGAAGTAATTGTTATGAGCAGGCAATGTGCATATACGATTTTATTTAAATATAGTAAGGACCTAGATCACAAATTATCCTTTTCTAGAAATTATAACTGCACATCAGAACTCCTCTAGTATACTGCATAATTATATCTTAAGGTTTAATGTTATTTTAGGCACATAATTTGATCAGAAAAAACATTATTAAAATTGTCTTACAAAATGGTTGAGAAGATAGAAAAATAAAAATAAAATAAATGTTATCACATGGGGTCAAAGTGTGTTTCCCTCCAGATCCCCCCACCCCATTTCCCATTCATTTATTTTAGTATCACGAGCATTTTCCCATGATTTAAAAAGTCTTTTTTATTTCATTTTTAATGGCTACGTAGTATTCCTTCACTGGATGTATCATAATTTAATGAATTCCTTCAGGTGTATGTATATATGAAAGTATTCTTTTACTCTTGGACATTATATCAATACCTTTTTTTTCATCAGTACACCTACTCCCCACTGATCAACTTATCTCATCCAACATTTTACATTCATGACAGTTTTGCACATTTAACAATGCATATCTAGCATTAATATTTATTATGCTACTTAAAGTCATGTGCCAACCTGGCTGAGCTGATTCTCAGTGGTTTGGCAATTGTGAAGTGATGTACTCATCCTCCATTTTGTGATCTGATGTGGTCAGCTGCCATTTTTACATGACACTAATTTTCACGTTAACGACCTGGTCTGTGAAATCATAGCCATGTCAATATGAAACACTCAATACCATTGAGTCAATTCTGACTCTCAGTGACCTCAGGGCAAAGCAGTCCCTGTGAATTTCTGAGACTGTAAATCTTTACCGGAGTAAAAAGCCTACCGTTCTCCTAAGGAGTGGCTGATGGTTTCAAACTGTTGACCTTGCAGTTGGCAGTACAACATGTTACCCATCACACCACCAGAGCTCAGTAGTGAAAAGTGGGCATATAACTAATCCTTGTTCATTTTGCTTCACCATTATTAAAGTATTCTAATTTTTCCCCTTAAATGTGTTCTGTTTGGGTGAAATGAAGTATTCCTTTAATTTTTCAGTAGCAGGTATGCCTCATGGATGCAGGACGTAGTGCTCTTCCTTTTCTGTTTATAGGTGCACAGACATCAACCCGAAGGCAGCAGCTTGTACCCTGGAGACAGCACACTGTAACAAAGTCTGCCTTCAGCCCATAATTACAGACTTGGTAAGCTATTCATCCTGGTCCAGTAATTATAAATTAAGGTCAAGATAATTTAGGTCAAATAAAGCTGAGGAATTACTTAATTTAACAGTGACTCCCTAAACAGTATACGCCATTCAGAGTAAATTCTTGGCTGCTATAATCCTCAAAGAAGAAAGTTTGCACTCGGTTAACAGTGAAAGATAAAAGGGGAAGACAGTTCAACAAGAGATAGGCCAAAAAAAAATTATTGAAATAGGGCAAGGCTTTGAGAAGTTGTAATGAGTTGTTGAGTGAAAAGCTGATTATCTGTTCTGTAAACCTTCACCTAATTCACAATTTAAAAGTTAAAAAAAAAAAGTGAAAGGAGTTGTATTAAAAAAAAAAAAACTTTAATTAATTAATTAATTAAAGGAGTTGTATTAAAGAATAATATACTTTGTGCTGGGCAGTAAACCAAAACCAATTGATCAAACATTCTTTTGGTCAAAAGAGATAGAGCTCAATTTAAACTGGCTTAAATAAAAAGGTATTTGGTTTGTCACTGGAAATTCCAAGCACATCTAACTTCTGGCACTCAAATGATATTGCAGGCATAGTTTTCTTAGATCTCTAGTGGCTCTATCCTTGGCAGCCTTTGCCTTCATGCTAAAAAGGTACTTGGTATTATCTGTGTCTTACATTTCAGCAATCAGCACCTAGCCAAAGAAACAAACCATTGTTAGTCAGTTACTAAAGCAAAATCCCCAGAATGAATATGACTTGCATCAACATAGGTCGTATATCTTTCTTTCAATCACCTACTGTAGCCAAGAGGATTGGAATATGGAGATGATTGGTTTAGACCTGGATTATATTCCCTCCCCAGGAGGGGGAAGATTGGGATCAATTCTTGCTCAACCACGTGGATTGAAAATGAGAGGACCTTCCATAAGGAAATGTAGTTAGCAAAGAGGAGAAATGAGGCCAGCACAGGTAATAACAACACATAAAACTACAGAATTGCAAGTGTGTTTCAAGACAAATCTTGCTCTTTTAAATTGTAGTTTTATAATAATTTTGATTATGTATAAGACTTAGATTATTTTGCCTTTGTATTTGCTTAGATATAAATATGAAATGCCTTTTTTATAAGTAAATATCATAGCGGCATCACCAGGTAATAATGCTTCTTAACCAGTGTATTATTCTTACATTGATGAGTAGGTTGAGGGCAAAGGAAAATCCAGCTCCACATCTGCTCAAGGATGATTCCTATGAGACAGATGTAGACATGCCTCAACTCTGCAACTTTTTTTACCCTATTTCGACACCAATCATCCAACATACGACACTCGGCTGGGTTTCATAGTCCATTGTGATGGCCACATTCTTTCTCAAAATGTCATTAAGATGACTTCTTGTGGTCTCTTCCAGGCTCCCCCACTTAGTTTCATAGTCTTAGTGCTGTGGCCTCTGCTGCTTCTACAACATCAGGCAACTAACAATTATGGGAGTTTAGTAGGAAAGTAAGCAGGTTCTATCAAGTCAGGATCAGAAGACAGGAAGGATGCATTCTTTATGTCTGCAACACCTCTTCTCAGCCGTCCTGTCAGGCATGTCTCTCTCTTGTCCTCGACCTCTCCTCTCAGCCAGAGAGCCTCTTGACCTCTCTCCAAATGTTACAGAGCCTCCTTAGCACTGGTGAATGCTCAGAGGGCACCCCAAACTTCAAGCCTGCCTACTGATCTATCTCATAGTCGTCACCAAGGGTCCCTGCTCCATCTCATGGACTCTATGGCTCCTCCACTCTGTTTCACGCTTTGGTGCTGCTCTGCTACTTCTGCCACAGCAGGCAAGAAACTGGCAGCTTTCTTGATGGCTGTGAGGTTCATATTCTTGCTTCTCAGATGGCTCACTGTTATACCCAGCAGAATGGCAAAGTTAATCTCTCTAGTTAGAGCTCTCTGCACCTATTTGCATTGTTACAGACACTGAATAGAAGAGTGATACCAAGTTCTTGCACTTTACCACAGTAGCTTTTTTGCTTTTAAAATTTCACAAATGATTTCCAGTTTAGAAAGAATTAAACCAGTACTTAAGTAGTTCTAAACATTATTAGTACAACTTCTTGCTGCTTTTAAAAACTAGATAACAAGAAAAGTACTCAAATGATTTGCATGAGATCTATGTGATCATTTTAATCTTTAATTTTACTTCTTTCTTTTGAGTGTTCATAGTATTGAGGTATATATTACTGGTAGGAAAATAGAACATTTAAACGTGGAATAAATTCAGAATGTCTTGGTTTTTTAAAAAACAGATGTCATAAACCCAGATCTTTGAATCCAGATCTAGAGGCCCCACTGCTGCTTAGGATGTAACTTGTGTTGTCTAGGCCAGTAGTGGGTCCCCAGTAGTTAAAAGTGGCCACAATCCTAAAGACTGAATTATGGGACAGAAATAAGCAAGAGAAGGTCTGAGCAAAATTATAATCAACTTACAGAGTTCTACACCCAGAACACGGGAGAAGGATGAGAATATCTGCTTCCTAAATGTTTAGTCTCAGAAGCCCCATGTAGGATTGCAGTGAGTTGGATCAATTGATGACAGTGGATTTTGGATCGTATACAATAAAATGACTTTTCAAGAGCTGAATTTACTTTAAAAAGTAGACATTTCATTGTATCTCAATGTATGCTATATTTCTTATATTCTTAGAATATGACTTTTGATTCAGCATGATCAATATGAATAGCGGGTATTCTGTGCTATATATGATAATGACTATGGCTTATTCATGCCTTTACACTAAATAGCTCAGCCTTTAGTCACTTTTCATTTTTATTTTCTCCATCTTTTCACTAGCCATAGGTCCTATTTCACTGCTACTTATTGATAGCTCTTTCAAGTGCTTTGTGTTACAAAACCAAACCACCAGTATAGTAGACTTGAATTTAAACTAAGCGTTAAGGACTCTGAGTAGTGCAAAGTACAGTGAAAACAATTGAGAGCAAGGACTCAAGACTGCTTTATTCCAGATCTCCCAAGTTTTCCCCCCTTGACAAGGTACCGTCTTAGCACTTTGCTATCAGTCTGTCTGAGTGAGGAGTATTTGAATCGGCTGTTTCTCACAGGTTTTGACCTACAGTTTCTGACTCTCCCCAGCTTTACTGTGTATTTGTTTTAGTGTATCGATTTTAAAAATCTCAGAGACTTTTTTTGTTTTCTCTGTAGTTCTTGGCTATATTCTTGGGATGTGAAACTATCCAAAAGCTGAATGTGGATGGGTAAGGTGTACGTTAATGAGACTTTATATCCTGCCCGTGATGGCTTTTTAAAATTTAAGTCCATGTTCTTTTGAGTTCCAAAAATGTTTACTTAAAATCCATTACTGCAATCATTGCTACTTTATAAAGAACCCTAGTGGCACACCCATTTAGGTATTAGCTACTCTCAGAAAAGTCAGCAATTCAAACCCACCAGCTGCTCCACAGGAGAAAGATGAGGCTGTCTGCTCCCATAAACCCTATATAGGATAGATATGAGTTGGAATAGACTCAGTGGCAGTGGATTGGGTTTCTGAGTTTGTATAAAATATCAGGGATTATTATAAATAGTTATGAAGCAATTACTCTGGTTTTCTTACTCAATATTTTTGGGAAATTACATAATGGAATTCTGTCTAGAGTTTGAAAAAATTTCTTTATGAGGTTGGAAAACAATCCTTTTGGTTATTTCAGAGGTCTTTCCTGGCTACAGAGGACAGCAGATTAACTAGAGCTCTTTCTACATGCAGACAAGGTTACACCTAAGTTTCCCTACCACCTTCCCCCACAACTTGTCTGTCAGTTTTTCGTACTATGATGGTTTGTTTGTGACTGATGCTGAAAGCTGTGTTACTGGTATTTCAAAAACCACCAGGGTCACCCAAAATAAACAGGTTTCAGCAGCACTTCCAGACTAAGAACAGAGTACAAAGAAGGAATAGGCTGACCACTTCAGAAGAATTAGCCACTGAAACCCTATGGTTAGCATCAAAACATTGTCAGTTACTGAAAACGTAATAAACAGAATGAGAATATTGTTGACCATAGTGTTAGACTGAGTAGAAAAACAAGACCAGTGACACTCATCTTTGTACAAGAAAGAACTTTACATCAAGAAGGAGCCCCAGCCAATTCCAACTCGTTAGGTCCAATGCTAGCTCAGTCCTCGTCAAACTCATGTAGCTGCAGGTTGGATGATGCTGAAGGATGATAAAGGAAACAGTGATTGGAAGCTAGTGAGTGCAAGTCATGTGAATTCAAGGTTGGTGGAAGCATGCCAGGGTACGTACAGCTCTCGGTTCGGCATCCTATATGAGACTACCCATGGTGGTAGACACAAAGTCTCTGTGAAATCCCAGCAAGGAGAAAGAAGCAGAGAGAGAAGCAGTTCCCAGAATCCTACACTGTCATATAAAAGACCACACACCCAAGGAGGTGTCATTCAGCTACCACCTGGTTGACAGGTTTGGTTCCACCTGTAGACGAAAGTTTTTAGTTGACACAAAATTATCCAAGTACCACAGATAGTGCCAGAAGATGAGCCCACATGTCAGAAGGCACTCAAAATCTGAGTAAGGAAGAACTGCCCTCTCAAATGACCGTATGACATGGATGACATAAAGTGTAGGGGAGTACAGCCATCAGGACCTTCTTTTGCTGATGAAGCACTACTCAAAATAGCTGCAAACATCAATAAATAATTGACAGTTTGGACTGTATGAAATATGACTAGGAAAATTGAGAGTTCAAAAGGAAATAGTACATTAAGATCGATATTCTAGGCATTAGTGAGCTGAAATGTACTGGTATTGGCCATTTTTAATGAGAATATCATATGGTTTACTACACCAGAAATGACACAGTCAAAAGGAATGACTTTGTATTCATTGTCAAAAGAACGTTTCAAGAGCTACCTTGAAGTACAATGCTGCCTGTGATAGGATAATGTCTATGCACATTCAAGGAAATCCAATCAATATGAATATTACTCAAATCGAATGAAGACGAAACTGAAGAATTCTACCACTGTCTTTGTCTTTAGATCAAACGTGCTCAAAATATATTGATAATTATTTGAGATTGGAATGCAAAAGTTGGAAACAGAGGAAGGGGCAGTAGTTGGAAAATACTATCTTGATAATATAAACAAAGCTGGAGATCACGAGAGGATTTTGCAAGGCCAACAACTTCTTCATAGCAAATGCCTTCTGTAAAAAACACAAAAGGTGGACTGCTCCAGATGGAATACAAAGAAGCCAAATTGAGTACATCTGTGGGGAGAGCTACCGAGCAGCTCAATATCGGCAGATAACATAAGGCCAGAGGTGACTGTGGAATAGACCACCAGATGCTCAGATGTAAGTTCAGGTTGAAGCTGAAGAAAATTAAAAGTCCAAAGGAGCTAACATATAACATTGAGTATATTTCACTTGAAGTTTGAAAGTATCCGCCTGAATATTTGAAGATTTGATGCATTGAACACTAATGGCAGAAGACCTGATGAGCTGTGGGAGGACATAAAAAAATCATTCATGAAGGAATGAATCAAAAGCTTACAGAAACAGCAAAGAAAGAAAAGATCAAAGTGACTTAACAGAAGAGACTCTGAAACTTGCTATCAATCATAGTATAATGAAGGCAAATGGAAGAAATTTTGAAGTCAAAGAGCTGAATAAAACATTTCAAAGAGCAGCACAAGAAGGCAAAGTCAAATATTATAATGAAATGTGCAAGGGCCTAGCCTTTGAAAGCCAAAAAGGACCAAAATGCTCAGCATATTGGAAACAAAAAACTCAAACTCAAGCCTCAAGTTGCAATATTGAAAGATTCTATGGGCGATAAATTGAATGATGCAGGAAGCATTAAATGAAGATGGAGTGAATACCTAGGGTCACAGCACCAAAATGAGTTGACATTCCGCCATTTCAGGAGATAGCATATGAACAAGAACCAATGGTACTGGAAAAAGTTAAGGTGCACTGAAAGCATTAGCCAAACACAAGCTCCAGAAATTGATGAGATACTTATTAAAATGTTGCAACAAGCTGATGAAGGACTGAAGGTAGTCACTTTGGAAGATGCGGCCAATCGAGTGGGAGAAATACATATTTGTACCTATTCCAAAGAAAGGTGATCCAACAAAATGTTAAGTTATAGAACAATATAATATCACATGCAAATAAAATTTTGCTGTAGATCATCCACCAGTGAAGCTGCCAGAGGTTCAGACCGGATTCAGAAGAGCATGTGGAACAAGGGATATCATTGTTGATATCAGATGGAGCTTAGCTAAAAGCTGAGAATACTAGAAAGATAATTACTTGTGTTTTATTTACTATGTACGGTATTTGACTGTGTGGATCATAAAAAAGCTTGAGAAGAATGGGACATCCAGAACACTTCATTGTATTCATGAAGAACTTATTCATAGATCAAGCGACAGTGGTGGGAATTGAACAAGGGAATACTGCATCGTTTAAAATCAGGAAAGGTGTGTGTCGGGGTTGTGTTCTCTCATCGTGCACATTCAGTCTGTATGCTGAGAATCATCAAAGAAGCTGGATTATATGAAGAATGTGGCATCAGGGTTGGAGGAAGATTTATTAACATGTGATATGCAGATGACAACTTTGCTTCCTTAAAACAAGGAGGACTTGCTGCACTTGCTGATGAAGATCAAGGCTTGTAGCCTTCAGTATGGAGTACAACTCAATGTACAGAGGACTTAAAATCTCACAACTGGACCAATAGGTAACATCATGTTAAATGGAGAAAAGATTGAAGCTGTCAAGGATTTCATCTTTCTGAGATCCACAATCAGGACTTATGGAAGCAATAGTCAGGAGATCAAAGAATGCATTGCATTGTGTAAATCTGCTACCCAAGACCTCTTTAAAGTGTTGAAAAACAAGCATGTTACATAAGGACTAAGGTGTGCCTGACCCAAGCCATGGTATTTTTAATTGCCCCATATGCATGTGAAAGTTGGACATTGAATAAGAAAGACTAAAGGGTCGATGCTTTTGAATTATAGTGCTGGCAAAGAATATTGAAATTACCATGGATTGCCTAAACAACATGCAATTTCTGTCTTGGAAGAAGTACAACTAGAATTTCAGCTCCTTAGAAGCAAGGATGGTGAGACTTTGTCTCAACTACTTTGGATGTGTTAGAAAAGACTAGTCTTGGAGAAGGACACCCTGCTTGCTAAAGTAGAGAGGTGGCAAAAAAAGAGGAAAGCCCCAAAGAGATAGATTGGCACAGTGGCTGCAGCAATGGGTTCAGACATAAAAACAATCGTGAGGATGGCATAGGGTTGGGCAGTGTTTCACTTTGTTGGACATGAGGTTGCTCTGACTCGGTAGCGCCTAACAACATGATGCCTGTAAAGGCACGGGTTTAATGGTTTTTAAAGTATTTGGTTATTTAATATAATCTGAGGAATACTTTAAATGGAATTTTTACCCTAAATGTACTTTTTTAAAAAGACATTTTTCGTGTTTTCCATAGAAAATTATATTCAGTTTGAAGTTTCATAAAATGCCGCACGACTGTATTTTCAATCTCTCCTGTCTTTGCTGTCTACCTTGTTTCAGGTAGCACATTTATAAGAATTAAAGAAATTGATGTTAGTTCCTACCAAGTTTATTCCAACTCATGGTGACCCCATATGTGCAGCATAGAACTGCTCCATAGAGCAGAACTTTCAAGTCTGTGGCCCTTGGGAAGCTGATCTTCAGTCCTGTCTTCTGTCAGTGATTCTCAACCTTCCTGGTGCCGCGACCCTTTAATACAGTTCCTCATGTTGTGTGGTGACCCCCAACCATAAAATTATTTTCGTTGCTATTTCATAACTGTAATTTTGCTACTGTTATGAATTGGGCGACCCCCGTGAAAGGGTTGCTCGACCCCCAAAGGGGTCGTGACCCACAGGTTGAGAACCACTGCTCTAGGTGGGTTTGAACCACCAACATTTTAGCTAATATTTGAGTGCTTCATCATTTATGCCACACCGAGGGACTCCAAGTGAAGAAGAAGAAAATCCATCATCTGACAATTTCTTTTATTTAAATAGGCTTTCTGCCATCGAATAAAACAGTTCTTTTGGTTATAGAAAGTAAGTATTTTAAGTTATTTGGAGTTCTAAAGTTGTGTCCAAATCTATGCAAATTAGAACATGTCTTATAGAACTCCTAAAACTGAACTCAAGACTGTGAGCATATAAACTGTTGAGGAACCAAGGATTGATTTGCTGAATCATTTTAATTCATCCTTTTATTATTACTAAGAATAATAATAATAAATTATTTTATTGGGGCTCTTAATAGCTCTTATCACAATCCGTACATCAGTGTGTCAAGCACATTTGTACATATGTTGCCATCACCATTTTCAAAACATTTTCTTCCTACTTGAGCCTTTGGTATCAGCTCCTCTTATTTCCCCTCCCTCCCCCACCCTCCTACCCTCATGGACCCCTGATAAATTATAAATTATGATTTTCATATCTTACACTCTCCACTGTCTCCCTTTCTTATAGTTAATTTATCATTTATTACCTATAAAATCAGTAATATGGGTGAAAACCTTGTTAAAAAACATTTATAATTCTAAAATTTATAATAACATAGATTAAAATTTTTACCTAGCAGAAAATATTAAAATATTTATTTATAGTTTTGTCTACAAGTCTGGTCCTCTAACATATTTTTCTTAAAATGTAGTAGAGTATTTAAATATGTATACATATGTCTTTTACTTAGTCTGGCTTAAAATTCTGATTATTATTCAACAAATTTAGGTCAAAGGTTTGCTACCAAGATTGAAGGAAAAAGTTGATCTTCTGGTGTTTAATCCTCCCTATGTAGTGACTCCATCGGAAGAGGTAAGATATATACAAAATTTCACTCTACTTTTAACGACCTTCTTTCTACATCACATGAACTTCACATGACCTCATTTTAGGTTGCTAACACAAACCATTCCACTTTTATTCATACTTGCCAATACTTGGCTTCTGTTGGTAGACAAAAGAAAGAAACCTGAAACAATAAAGACAGAAACTCTATTCTTGGATAGTCTTCAAAATCCCATCCAAATCAGACTATAGGTATTTAAATATTCTCCTCCTCTCTGGCTTGTACTCCTCTCATGTACACCTTTTATTATGATTGATAAATTTGCAAAGCAAGCAATCTTAATCAACCTTAAATTTCCATTGGAATTCTTTTTTTTTTTCCCATTGGAATTCTTTATGAATTTCTACTACCCTTCCACTTTACCATAAACAGGTTTTTCTCTTTTGTAAATATTACCAAAAGTGAGAGAAGGAAACCAATTCTCATTTCAGATAGAGAAAATGATCTAGAAACAGGTGATTAAAAGAAATCTCTGTAATGAAGTAAACCATATTAATCATTTCCCTGTACAAAGAGAATATTTACGGGTCACAATGCTTAATTATGGATTAAGGCTAGCTATGAGTTGGAATAGACGTGATGGCAGTGAGTTTGGTTTGGGCTTGGAGTTTCCTTGTAATTAGCCCTGGTGGCACTGTTGGGGACGCGTTTGATTGCTAATCTTACGGTCAGCAATTCAAACCTGCCAGCAACTCTAAAGTAGAAAGTTGAGGCTCTGTGCTCCTGTAAAAGATTCACAACCCCCACTGAAACCCTACGAGGTCGCTGTGAGTCAGAATCTATTCAGTGACAGTGGGTTTACCTTAGATTGCCTTTTAATTAATGTGCCTACTTTATTTTAATGATCATCTTTTGGCAAAACTGATAAATGTTACACATCTCCACTAAGACTGGAAAGATCCATAAAGCTGCTATTACTATTAATTAAGATTAAACCAGTAAGAAGTTGTTGTCTCTGCTGACATAGGAAACTCATTATCACATTCAGGAAAACATTTTAAACATGAAGATCACTTGAGGGAAATGCAAATTACTAAGACTCTTTAGGAAGCATTATGAAAGTATATTATTTTATCATATATAACATGATAAAAATGTTTGTTCAATAATCTCAATCCTTGAGATCTAATTTAAGAAAGTCATTCAGCAACACAGAAATAGAAATTCACAAAAATACATATATCATTATGATGTCAAATATTATGAAGGTATATATGAAACAGAATAGAAACAGGGAAGAAGGTCCTGGTATATTATGTGCACAAACTGGGAAGACTAATGAATGAAGAGAGGAGAGTTTACAGCATGGCAATCGAAAGGGACTCTTCTTCTAGAGATAATTTCTAGCACTAGGTTCTGGGCTTTGCCAGAGCCTTGCACCTGTTATGATTGCTTGCCTTGGGCTCTGTTGTGATTCCAACCAAGAGAGCAGGTGTGATAAATCCTCTCCTATGAGCTGAGTAATTAATTAACTGGAGAGCAGTATCACAGTACAGCACAGCAAAGATTTCCTGGAGTTTTAAGAACATGTTTTACAAAGTAAAACATTAGGAAATGGATTTAAAGAGATTGAGGTTAAACTGTGAAGACCTGAACCAGTGGTCTGGGAATCAAATGGAAGAACCGTTTCTGTTCACAGAGTATGATGATAAAGAGAAATGAACCACTGTTTTAAAAAAGAGCCTGGAAGGAAAGATTGAGAAGACATGATATGAAAGATGTTCCAACTTACTAATACATGCTGACCCATGGGATTCGGTGCTGTTGGTGTGTGCCTGTAATCCATAAGTGATCACTGCAAGCTCGCAGTGGAGCTGGGTACTAGGCAAGCAAAAGACCACATTGACTCCTGCCCCAAGGTACAATACAGTGAGCTTGCCCCACAAAGATGGAAATTGCTTGGAGCCTATGCGAATGTGATCAGCATCAGATGATCAGTAGGCACCAGATTAACATGGTTTAACATCCTTGAGGAAACATCTAAACTAGTGTCCGCACAGAGTTCCTACTCCAGACTGGAGTAAAGTAACAAGACAGTCCAGACTTAGCAAAAGTATGTTGTTAGGCATGGGGCTAGTAACCATAAGGTCAGTGGTTCAAATCCATCAGCTGCCCCACAAGAGAAGAATAGGCTGTAAAGATTTATAGCCTCAAGAACCCTAAAGAATAATTCCATGCCCTCTGTGATCTCTATGCTTTGGAATTGATTCAATGGCAGTATATTTGGTAGGCTCTTTGGCTTTTTTAAATCTTCTTTCAACAAAACATTTACATCTAGAGAATGGCTCCATCAAAATTGGGGTGGAAACCGAGAAGACAATATGGGGCCCAGGAAAAGAGGGAATTCAACCCAAGGGTAAAGCAAAGAAGTCTAGGGATGCTAGTAAAGGATTGTCTTCAGGAGAAAAATCTTAAAGCAAAATAGAACTGATAAATGTACTGTTGTGATTAACTATTGTGATTACATGGACCAAGAGGTAGTTGTGCGAACAGAACAAAGGCATTCTGCATGATTTAAAATCAGAAAAGTTGTGTGACAGGGTTGTGTCTTCTCACCATACTCAATCAATTTATATGCTGAGCAAATCAGCTAAGAAGCATATGAGGAATAATAAGGCATCAGGATTGGAGGAAGACTTAGTAACAATCTGTGGTATGCAGATGGCACAACTTTCCTTGCTTAAAGTGAGGAGGAATTGAAGCACTTGCTGATGAAGATAAAGGATTGTAGCCTTTAGTATGAATTACAACTCAATCTAAAGAAGACCAGAATCCTCACAACCTGACCAATTGGTAACATCACAATAAATGAAGAAAACGTTGAAGTTATCGGAGATTTTTGTCTTGCTTGTGGATCCACAATCCGTGCTCATGGAAGCTGCAGTCAATAGATCAAAAAATGTACTGCATTAGGTAAATCTGCTGCGCAATATCTCTGTAGAGTCTTGAAGAGCAAAAAAGTATGTTACTTTGAGAACTAAAGTGTGCCTCACCCAAGCCGTAGTATTCTCCTTTGCTTCATATGCATTGAAACGTGGATACTGAATAAGGAAGACCATAGAAGAATAGATGTATTTGAATTGTGGTGCTGGTGAAGAATATTGAAAGTACCATGGACTTCACTAAAAGCCAAACAAATCTGTCTTGGAAGAAGTAAGGCCAGAGTGTTCCTTAGAGGCAAGGATGGCAAGACTTCATCTCACATACTTTGGACATATTGTCAGAAGAGACCAGTCCCTGCAGAAGGACATCATGCTTGATAAAATGAAGGGGCATCTATAAAGAGGAAGTCCCTCAATTAGATGGATTGACAAAGTAGTTGCATCAGTGGGGTCAGGTATAGGAACAGTTGTGAGGATGGCACAGGACAGTGCAGTGTTTTGTTCATAGGGCTGTGCATAGGTCACTAGGGGTCGGAGCTGACTCAATACCACTTAATAACACATTATTAACTTTGTGAAAATTTATATTAAGTTTAAGATAGGGATGGGAATACAAAAGGGACTTCAAAAACATGGAAACTTGGAATTAAAAGATAATGGAATTTTTCATGAATTTATTTAAGCCTATTTGTAACTATGAAATACAAAGAAAAATAAGCAAATGAACATAGAAACTAGTTGTGGTACTTTCCCACCGTAAAATATGAAACTATAAGAAAAATGAATTAAAACTAATCCAGACCATTTTAAAAGATTTCTATAAGATATTATAAGTGGGAGAAATGCAAGACTCAATTTAAAATATATAATCAGTATAATGTTAACTATATCCAATCATGACATGTGTATGGGTGTGTGTGTGGTGGGAAGAAGATAGGACAAAACATTTAAAAACTAAAATATGGAGAGAAAAAAAGGTAAAATATGCAGCTTTGTAAAAACATGTGTGCTCATATTTTTCTCCCTTGTAAAGTTATGTATATATATGGTGTGCATATAAAGAATTTAAAGCAAATATAAATCATATTAGATTAATAAAAGCACAGGCATGATTGTATTTTTTTAGGTAAATGCCATAGAAAGAAATAGAAAACAATTGTTAGGGTTAAAGTAAGATTCAAACATATATTCAAAATATTCTTATATATATGTATATACTTTAATTTACAGTGGTAAAGACATTGTGTAAACTCCTAAACTTTCCTTTCAGAATATAATCATATTAAGGAAAAAAATGCTTCAGTGTAGCTCTATATAGTAAGTGAGTTTCAAAAGGGAGGTGTAAAGGATGCCCCTTATCATCACTCTTATTCAGCATTTGCTGGAAAGCTTAGCCAGAGCCATTTGACAACAGAAAAGGATCAAAAGAATCCAAATCAGTAAATGAAGAAGTGAAACTATGTACAAATGATATGCTTTTATATGTAGAAACCCCCAAAGACTCCATAAAAAAAATTGTTGGAAACAATTGAAAGGTTTGGCAACATGACAAGATTAACACCAAAAAGTTATTGGATTCCTATATACTAACAAAGAGAACTCCAAAAAAGAAATCAGGAAAGCCATTTGCAATAGCTACACACACACAAAAATGAAATACTGAAGAATAAACCTAACAAGAGAAACAAAAGACTTGTACAAGAAAAACTACAGATCACTATTACAAGAAACCTACTTAAATGGAAGAATATTCCATATTCATGTATAGGAAGACTTAACATTGTGAAAATGTCAATACTACCCAAAGCAGTTTATAAATACAATACAAATGCAATCCAAATCCCAAGTTCATGCTGTAAAGAAAAGGGAACACTAATTGTTAATTTTATATGGAGTGCAATAAACTTGTTAATAGGAGGCCTCTTTTCTACCTGATCTCAAATCCTATTACACAGCCACAGTAGTCAAATCATCCTAACACTAGTACAATGGTAGATATATAGATCAGTGGGAGAGAATAGAGAACCAAGAATACATTCATCTACCTACAGACAACTGATCTTCAACAAGGACCAAAGAACCATCAAATGGGAATGAGATCATCTTTTTAGCAAATGGTGCTGACAAAATCGGATCTCCATGTGCAGAACATTGAAATACGACCCATATTTGACTCCGTGTACAAAAATGAACTCAAGATGGATCAAAGACCTAATGTAAATCCCAGAGCTATAAAGACCATCAGTGAGATAATAGGTACAAACTTAAGAGCCCACTACAGGACATAGACATATTATCAAACATAATGGAGAACAAAAGGCAAAATAAGACGTGTGTTCAAAAGTCTTCATCAAAAGACTGAAAAGAACCCATGAACTGGGGGTTGGGGGTGGTGCCAGGGCAGAAATTGGCAGCAACCAAGTAGACAAGGGAGTAATGTGTAAAATCCTCATTAAAGGGAAAAATATTTATAACCCAGTTAAAAAGTGGGCAAAGTACATTAACAGTTTACCAAAATACATCCAAGTGAATAAAAAATACATGAAAAAATACAATCAGCCATCTGGGAGATGCAAATCAAAGCAACAGTGAGAAACTACCTTACACTGACAAAGAATGTGGAGAGATTGGAACCCTTATACCATACTGGTGGTCTATAAATGTGTACAACAATTGCAGTAACAAGTGGGAATAGAAATTTCATATGCTCTAGCAATATCTCTTCTTGATCTACACCCCAAAGAAGTAAGTAATATCAGAACAGATACATGTACACCCATGTTCATCACAGCACTGTTCACAATAGCAAGAAGTTGGAAACAGCCCAAATGTCCATCAGTAGACAAATGGATAAAGAAACGTTAGTGTATGCACACAATGAAATACTATGCATAACTAAAACAATGATAAGGCCATAATGACATGGATGGACCTGGAGATAATTATGCTGAGTGAAGTTAGTTCATCACAAAAGAACAAATATTGTATGCAACCACTACTGTAGGGATAAAAACCAAGGGAAAACTTGTATGACAAAGGGAACAGACTTTAGAGGTTGCCGAAGGGGGTGGGGGTGCAGGGGAGGGAAGCAGCAGCAGCGGACTCGAGGGTTTGCCAGTGTTGACTCGGGTGGAAAGGGAGGCTGGAGGTTCACAGGAGGAAGATGTTGGGGCAGGCAGGTTTGGGAAGACTAAACTAGGAAGGTGAGGAGGGGGTGAATTATTGAATGCCGGCTTGGTGGTCTGAAATAGAAACCTTTCACAATTTTTTTAAAAGGTTTATATGATTTATCTTTTAAATAATCTAGAAAAGAGCCAGATGTTATGGGACATTTGACTTTGTTTCAGCTAAATAGATCTTACAATACAAGTTCTCACTCTTAGTTTCGTCCTAAAATTGTACATATATTAACTATGACTGATAGCACTCAATGTACACATTGTAATTAACTCAAAATACACTTCATTCACTCCTCACAATGGATGAAAGTTTTTAGGTATATACTCGTGTATAAGCTCACCCAAATATCAGCCGAGGCACCTAATTTTACCACAAAACAGTATTTAAAATGTGCTGGAAAAACTCTGCTTATATGCGAGTATATATAGTATTATTATTTCCCTAATTTTATAGATAAGGAAGAAACAATCACAAAGATTACTGACCTAATTTACCTAGACTGGAAACCATGCTTGCTTCCTAGTTTACTGCTTCTTTGTTAGCAGTGAAATATAAAACTTGTACTTTCTTTCTTTTGTTTTGTTTTTTCAAGTTTTTTCATTTTTGTCATTTTATTGGGGGCTCTTACAACTTTTATCACAATCCATACATAACATCCATTTTGTCAAGCACATTTGTACATTTGCTGCCATCATCATTCTCAAAACATTTTCTTTCTACTTGAGCCCTTGGTATCAGTTCATTTTACCCCCTCCCTCCCCACTCCGCCTCCCTCACAAACCCTGGATAATTTATAAATTATTATTATTTTGTCATATCCTACACTGTCCGACATCTCCCTTCACCCACTTTTCTGGAAAACTTGTATTTGTTTGGTGAATATTTGTCAAAAAGATTCTGTGTATGATTTTTTATTTCATATATAAACTGAGTCAAAAATACACCTTTAGTCCAGAGAAAAAACTCTTTTTAATTATGTGCAGGTGAGGAGTCGAGGCATCGAGGCAGCCTGGGCCGGTGGCAGCAATGGTCGAGAAGTCATGGACAGATTCTTTCCATTGGCTGCAGATCTGCTTTCCCCAAGAGGATTATTCTATCTCGTTACCATTAAAGAAAACAATCCAGGTAACACCCATCAGTTTGTATTTTAGCCATTTATTAGGGAGAAGCCAAGAATTAATGATGCAGAAGACTACATAAAATCACATGGACTATTAATAAATGCAGACATAACATTCATGTTGAAAGATATTTTTGAGGTACATTTGTATGGCTTCAAAAAATGTTCTCTTATGTTATCTCCACCACCCCACTTCTCTTCATAAACTAATATTCACATACAGAATCTCTAATTTCTTTTTTAGAGCACCTCAAGCTCAATATTGTCGTTTTTTCTCTCCATCCTGGTGGCCCCATGCTCTGGGCAATTCTGTTCTGTTTTCTTTGGTTCCTCTGAAGCTGTGTCATGAAAATTGTCTGTTCTGCCTCCCACGGTGCACTGTACTTTTCCTCTAGGGTCTATAATTCATTGCATTAGCCATACTGAATATCAAGACAATGTTCATGATTAAGGGATTTACTGAGGAAGGTAACAGGTTACAATACAGGTGAGAAGTACTCAGAATATTGTTGTTCAGTTAGGACACATTACAAAATTCTTTCAGGGCTGCTGGTAATGCCCAAAGAGCAGTCAACTCTACTAGAACCCTCCTACTGGAGGCCTTCCGCTCCATCTCCCCGAGTCAGCAAGCCCAGCTTCCCGATTAGGTGCCCAGATGCCCTCCACTTTTGCCCCAAACACTCAGCTTTATTTGCTCTGTGGGCTGGCGCGGGGGTGGGGGGGGGGGGACCCCCACAACCCTTTCTCGGGCTTTGGCTCTGATGTCACAGCTGTCATTCTGCATCCAGGAGGTTTGCTGTGCAGGGATCTCAGGTCCAGAGGACACGCTTCACTCCTGGCTCAGGCTGGTGGTGAGATTCCCCCCCTCCTGTGTCTCGGAGGGCTCATTTTGTACCCAGCAGGATGGTAATCCCAATGAATCCTGCTCAAAAGTACTCACAAGTGAATCCTGTCAGTATCTTCCCCCACCTTCTTACCCAGACACATGCAAGAAAGGTCGTTTAGTGGGAGCTTCAGAGACTGGCCAGAAGAGTCACATTGAATGATTCATTGCCCCTGCACTATCTCATCATAGGGATTTTTCAATTTTGATTTTAAGATGACTTAAGTAAATTGATCGTAATCTTTCTTCTTTATCTATCTCCTTTGATTTTAGCTTCTGTCTTACACATCATGATTACTAGTTTTCTTTGGGGTTTCTTTTAAGATCAGTTTATCTCTAACAGGAAGGGCTACAGGCTGCTGTATTTGTCAGAACTGTGCAGTGGAACCCAGTCTAGGCTGCCCTTGTCTTCAATGACATTTTTCATCCAAAAGGAAGACGAGAGGACAGAGATTGGAGCCAAGCAACTAAAAACTGGATCCCTTGCTGTAATTACCAGTTTAATTAATTTTTGCTGTCGTTGAATCCTGAGTAAGCTGCTCCTTCAAAGCAGCCATGCCCCCTAGTTGGAGCCGAAGCAGCACCTTGATGATTCAAAATGCTCCCATCTATCTGAAGCCCAAGTCCGCTTAATAGGAACTCTTACTATACATTGTTTTACCAGATGAAGATAATTTTTTAAAGTTTGTGTTTATCATTGTAATAAGCTGTTTAGTGATCAAACCAAGTTATTTATTGAGGGTTTACAGTTCTCATTTTCATTTTAGAAGAAATTTTGAAAATAATGAAGAAAAAAGGCCTGCAAGGCATCACTGCACTTTCCAGGCAGGCGGGCCAAGAAATCCTTTCTGTCCTCAAGTTCTCGAAGTCTGGATGTACAGGTGTTTGCTGACTTTCTGGAAGCGGAGTCCATTCAGCATGTTTGGGAACTGAAGTAATTCCTGGATTTATCCAAAACTTATCAGAAAGGTTTCATAGAAAAAAGGTAGAAGAATGAGGCATTCCCTTTCACCCATAGAGAATATTCAAGCTTATAGAAATCTTTATGCAACACGCATAAATTACATATTTATATATAAAATGTTTTTAATATACCAACATCTTGCCTTTTTTTTATTAAAAGATCATCTATTGGGGACTCTTACAACTCTTGTTACAATCCATACATTGGTTGCATCAGGCATGTTTGTACATACGTTTGCCTTCAGTCTTTGCTAGACATTTACTTTTTATTGAGCCCTTGGTATCAGCTCCTTTTTTCCCTAGCCCCCCCTTTCATCACCCCTTGATAATTATAATTATTTTCATATCTTAAACCGACCACTGTCTCCCTTCCCCTATGTTTTCTGCTCTTCCTCCTGGAGTGGGGTGTATGGTTATGTGTCAATCACTGCAATCGGTTCCCCCTTTCTCCCTTACTCTCCCTCCTTTTCCTCCTCCCCTTCCCTCTACACTTCTGGTATCGCTATTCCCACTCCTGTTCCTGGATTCCATGTGTCGTGAGCCCCCATCTCTTATCTATACCTGTGTACATGTTCCGGTCTAGTCTGAATTGAGAAGCAGCACTCGGGTCATGGTAGTGGGGGGTGAGGAAGTCTCAAGGAACCAGAGGAATATTGTGTGTTTCATCGATGCTTTACTGCACCCTGATTGACTCATCCCTTCCCTGTGGGGGGAACACACCTTATCGTATTGTGCCTTACTTTATTGACCTTCAGTTACTGTGCTTTTTACAATTGGAAGTTTGTGCCAACTTTGCATCAAGCAAATCCCCTGGTGCAATTTTCCAACAGCATGTCATGAACTCACTCTGTCTGTGTCACATTTTGGTTCTCACATTTCAATTTTTTTCATAATGCTATTGCAGCTTAATAAACTACACTTTAATATAGTCATAACTTGTATGCACTGGGGAACCGAAAAAATTTGTGTGACTTGTTTTATTTTATATTTGCTTTATTGCAGTAGTCTGGAACCAGACCCACCATATCTCCAAAATATGCTTGTATAATGTAAGTGTAAAATATATGAAAGGATATTTATTTTAACATTTTTTGTAATAGATGTTGATTCAATCTCAATGTCCATTAGTACAGGGATTAGTTAAATAATGCCCAAGTACAATAGATCTGAGTATGAGCCAGTCAAACCAATGTGTCAGGTCTCTGTCTATTAAGCCCCTAGAGGGGTCTGTGTTGTACTATGTAGGAAGTTAAGGATTGGAGGATTGGATAGCGAAGCAGCAGGGCCACAAGAAGCAGTAACACAACTTTTTCTAAGGCGGCACTTGGGCAGACTCTGCAAGGCAGCTCAAGGAGCCACCACAGCAAAGATGCAGAAAGGATGTTGGAGAGGGTGTGTTACAGATTCAATTGTGCCTCTCCAAACTCCATATTAGAATCCTAGGTGGAACTTCAACCTATTAGTTCTCTGCACTGTAGGGTTGCTGTGAGTTCGAATCAACTCAGCAACTCACACCACCACCACCTGTGGGTGTATTCCACTTGGAAATACCACTTACTGTGTTAATGTTACTGTACTGTGTAAGGTATGTCCTACACCTCATCACTTCTGAATACTAGGAAGAACGCAAAGACAGAAACAAGTCAACATAGACAGGGGAATGCACAGACTAGCTGAAGACTGATCAATGTACAGCCCCAGGAACTCCAAGGATTGCTGACTACCAGCAGCTGAAATCAGTGACACTTGTTTAGCGTGGGTAAGAAGCTGAAATTGATAACACAGAATGTCTTTCAAGAGCTAGCTCTGAATTTGGACTTCTAGCTTCCGTGAGAAAATAAATTTCTGATCTTTAAAGCTGCTTGTAAAAAAACAAAATAAAGCTGCTTGTAGTATTTGGATAAAGCTCTAGCAAGATTGATCAAGGAAAATTAGAATTAAGGCATAGATAATACCAGGGCAGAAAAGATAATTGTAAGTATGGTATAAAAAAAAACAAAATATTATGAGTAACTTTATGTCAATAAATTGAAAAGAGGTGATATGGAGAATTTCCTTTGAGAAGGAACATAGGAACACTAACACATAGAAAAATAGAAGGCCCATAGGACTTTATAGATAATACCAAACACACAAGGAACCCAACTCATAACAGGATTGTCTTTGATACCAAAACCAGACAGAAGCAAGAGGATTATCAGAGGTTGATCTCAGTTGTGAATACATATGCAAAACAACAAAGATTGCTAGATTGATTTCAGTTGTGACCAAAAATGAATCATTTTATAATAAACTATTTTTGAACCCACACATATATTATCTGTGGTAATAGTATTGTTCGTGTCCAATTAGAGTTTACCCCAGAGGTGGGGAATTAAGTAAACATAGTAGACAGGGGAAATAATACTTCCTAATGCATTCCATACCATTCATTCAGACCTCAAAAATATAAACAGGCTACAAATTTAGAGCCCAAATCTATAAATAATAATACTACATGTAGTGATTGACAGTGCATTTTAAAGTCTAGGAAAAGGAGCTCTGGCGGCACAGTGGGCTGCACACTAAGCTGCTAATTATATCGTCAAGGATAACACCGTCGATGACTACTGAACCAGTAGTCTTGCCAGCATAGCACTGTGAGTAACAGCAAGTGAGATTCCACAGGTACGGTCCTCAGACCACAGATCAAACAGACTGACAAAGCAAGTGTTATGCAAGGTGTATTGACATAAAGTGGTGTTAAAGTACTTTCTTTTAAAAAAAATCATTTAATTGCAATCTTATGACAATAAACTACAAAAGTATTTCTGAAACAGCTCATCAAAATTGAATATTATTTTGCTTTTAAGTCAACTTTTTAGTTTGTAAAAATTCTCTGTTCTGTTACTAGGAAAGAGGCAGTCACTAAATCTGGTTCTCAACCTTCCTAATGCTGTGACTCTTTAATACAGTTCCTCATGTCGTACCTTCCTAATGCTGGGACTCTCTAATACAGTTACTCATGTTGTAGTGACTCCAACCATAAAATTATTTTTGTTGCTACTTCATAACTGTAAATTTGCTACTGTTATGAATCGGACGACCCCTGTGAAAGGGTCGTTCGACCCCCAAAGGTCACAGGTTGAGAACCGCTGGACTAAACAGAGGTGGTGTGTGGACTCTCATGACAGGCTAGAATATTAGTACAGAGTTTCTGGAAGATTTGACCTGAGCAATAATGCAGGTTTCTTCAACATTTCTAGCAACAGTACCTGCACTGGCTGGCCTAGAAGAGAGTGTGACATGCTGTGCTTGATAGATCCCCAGGACACAATCTAGAATTAGATCTTCTGAAAGCTTGTCACTTACCCTTAAATCTAGCCCCATCTAAGAACAATTAAGTCTTAGGACATGGCCCTGCTTGATACCTGCCCTCATGATGAGATCACTGAAGATGTGGGTGCTATAGCAAAGTGTGGTGAAAAACTAGATGGTGCATGGCTATCAGAATAGTGTTGGGGGGTTTAAAGGCTTGTCTTCAAACAAGTAGACATCGCATTGAGCCATCAACTAAGTCCAAATGGAAAAAGCACCAAATCTGAAGGAGGGAATAGTATCAAAGCTTAAATTATGAGCACCTAGTTTGTAGAAGGCTGTGGATGACAGTGGAAACCCAAAATCCATGTGCAAGGTCCTCACATAGATTAAGCCTCAGGTGAATCCCCTCTGACCATAGCCATGGAATGTGAATAGCCTTGTTATCAGACAGAATTGTAGAAATGATTATAATATAGTTAGCTTAAAACGTAATACTCACTCTCCCTTTGACCTATTTAAAAGTTGTTTCATTTTTAAAAGGGGGTGGGGAGGAGATGCATGTGGATTAAGCCTCTGGTGAATCCCTTCTGACCAGAGACCAGGGATGTAAGTAGCCTTGCTACTCATGCAAAGTGGATTGGAGAGTGGATTATAGCAAATGTAGTTAAACACTTTTTCATTTGATCCCTTTGACCCATTTTTAAGTTGCTCTACTTTTGAATATTTACTGCTTTCCTTTCAGTTGAGGTTTTCTGTATTTTATTTTGTTATTGGTAGCTTTTTTATTACTTTTATTTTTGTTTTGTATGTTTATCAGTATATGAAATCCAGGATGGATGAATCTAGAGACAGTGACTGGATTAATGGTTTCTTGGGGGAATGGCAGGGTAGGTTTGGGAAACTGGGTAATAATTATACAGCTATTCTTGATATGATTGAACTATCAAATTGTACATTATGTGGGTTATGTGCCAATAAAATTTTGAAACAAGTTAAAAGTTGCAAGTAAAATAATTACCCGTAGTCTATTTTAGCAATCATTTTCAAAAATAAAAACTATATCACTAATTCTATTATAAAAAATACAAGGGGGTACCCTCCAAAAAAATGGAATTTTTTTCAAAGCTATGCATTTACATTTTTTTACAAAACCGTATCACCTTCAAACTACTCTCCATTACACATAGTACATTTGTCAAATCTACGATTCCATTCTTGGAAACATTTTTCAGACTCATTTGTTTGGATGGCTGATAGCATTTCCCTGTCACTTCACTTCTTCTACATTGTCAAATCACTGCCCTTTCATGTCCCTCTGCATTCATGGAAACAAAAAGAAGTCACACAGTGTGGTCAGGTGAGTGGTACGTGGGGCATGAGAGGGATGCTGTTTTTTTGCTAGTGCACTGATGGCTTCATTAGAACATGCATTGTTGTGTTACTTGAAATATTTTATCTTATTGGATGGAAGTGGGGGTGGTATTAGAATTTTGTGCTGAGAACCTCACTCCCAGAAGTTGAAATAGTATCAAAATAGTATGTATTGGGTGAAACTTAGTCAGAAACTTGATAAAATCTAGTGTGACAATATTTTTGGGTTTTCTTTTAAAATTTTTTTCAAAATCATTTTATTAGAGTTTTATTTCTTAATGGGGTATTGGAAACACTCATGAGGGTTCAGAAGGTTATCTGGTTACATGGATGCTCTTGCCCTATATAGACCATTAAGCCTTTTCAAGAAGTTTCACAGTTAAACATACCACAGGAAGCTGCTTTGTTTTAATCATAAGCGTGCAGGTTTCTTAAAACCTGAAGCATTTGCTTTCACTTTATAA